TTATTTCAGATAAACGGTTGTTCAAAGCAAACTGGTTTTTAACGGTTCTTTAGATGAGGTCACTCTACAATGAAAATCATAGTAAAATTAAAGAAATTTCAAGTAAATGTCAGATAATAATGTTGATCACCAACCGTAGAATATTTTGTAATTTCATCGTTGGAAGATAGTTTTTTTCTTCGGAAAGACGCAATGACTGTCTCATTTTGATATTTTCACTAAGTGAGAATATTTAATTCAATTAGTATCTTTCATTTTCCCTTCGTTTATAAAAAAAAAACTAGTAACAAATAACAACTTTTAACTAACAAAAAACACATTCATTTCACTTTTATCGGCATAAATTTGTAAAAGTGATACAACTTTTCTGTTTAAATGAAAAGGTCACTTTAAATGATTCATCTATCGACGTATCGATAAAGAATGAAATAAACTAATATTTGTCGAATACCAAATGAAGCATTCAGTGAATGAAAGTCATATTAACTTTTTTTCACAGAATTTATTTCAAATCTTTTTTTTCACATAACAGTAAGAAGATTTTTTTTCAAAATGTGTCTTAAAAAGACAAACTGTAAATTTATCATTAAGTTGTTAAAATACAACTTAAAGGATTACTAATTTCTTCGTAGTTTTCTCTTATTTCAGAGTTCGGTAATGTTATTGTTCGTAGTTATGTAACTACTTTGTTTTTCTGGTTACCGTTATTGTTATTCTTGTCCCTCAAACCTATCTATTAGTTAATATAGTGTAAATACATATGAAATTAATGTGTAACATGCATTATTTGAAAGTAAAGCATTGGAATTGCATTGTTATGAACATTAGTATTAGACTGTTCGTGATCTTATCTTCTCCGTTGTTTTACAGTTAATTTCATTCACTAAACAGACCATATTGAAACAAATCGGTTGACAAATACATCAGTTTTATTCTTAAAACCATAACAGTGCTATACTATTAAGCTGTTAAAGAGTACCGCTAGCTGAAAACAAAAGAAACAGTAGTTAATTTATAAAAAAAATTGATCACAAAATAGTTTTCAATACTCTTCTTACAATTATCTGACCCTCTAACAATCTTCACTTAGAAAGGAAACCAGTCAATATGGGGACTAAAGTCATGATGAATGGGACCTTGTTTCAAGTTGAATAAGTTCACTGCATCTGAACAGATAACTATGATTTTTAATTAGATTGAAGAGACTCATAGGTTACCATGGAACTGCATCTTCTGACGTTGCTCCACTGCCTTGTGGATCAGACCTTTAGGTCGAAGGCTCTGGGTGTGGCCCCTTGAGATAACCACCTGCTTAGGTTTTGGCACCCCGGTAGTATTCCAGCCCTCACACAAATCCAATAGTTTATGCGGCGCATATGTATTTAGTGACTCCTTGTACCCATGTTTAAATAAATAAATACCCATAGGTTGGAAGCTATCCATGAGTTGTCAGCACTTAATAGCATTTCAAAAGTATTAATCTTGGTCATTATTTTCAATAAGCACTTTAGAGAATCTCAAAATACAGATATCCTCTGTATTTTACATAACGGCATATTCATAAAAAATTCTAAAACCATCTTGAACCTTCCCAGTAGTATTCTTGGGAACAGTAATAAACTCTGAAATAATTTCATTTATGAATTCACGTTTATGAATGGTAACCTTTTACGATCTTTCTGTACCTTTTATCTCGAAATCAGCTATAACCTCCTTTAAGATCTCGTACAATCATGAAGTAGGGGGAATTGCATCAATTTACTTCAAATATTGTAAGTTTAAATTTTCACTTCTTCTAAAACTGTTTAATCTCTATCTCCCTCTCTGAAAACAGGGAATTATCCTTACTGTTGGAAAACCGCATATATTATACCGTGGCATAAATCTGGTGGGAAAACCAACGGAAAATTACCGGCTAGCAAATCTTTTTACAGCTATCTTTAGGATAATGAAAAATGTGTTGATGACATTTTCAGCCATATGTTCACGAAAAACCTTATCAGTAATTTGCAAAGTGGATACCTAAAAGCTAAATCCTGTACGACCCATCACTCTGACTTCTTTAATTTAGTCTTTACTCAATGTAGTCTAGAAAAACTAGTCTTGTGCTAGTTTGATATTTCTAAAGCTTTCGGCATTGATAACCACCAGCCTCTTATGAGAAAACTCACATCTTAAGGGATTAGAGGTCACCTGCTTGCTTGAGTTAATTCCTTATTCAGTCATGGACACTAAATATTCGAAATGAATTGCTCCTTATTGGATGGTGACTCTGTCACAAGTGGTATAATACAAGGTAGTGTCCTAAGTTTTTTGCTCTTTATAACATATAAATAATATTTGCAATTGCTTTTGTATGAGTATATCACTTCTATATGCTGGTGGTCTGAAAATAATGTATTTTTTTCTCTTCATGAGATGAACAATGAACAAAACTGTATGAGATGGAACTCAGTAAGGTCGCTTGGTGATCCACAAAAAAGAATCGAGAACTTACAATTGTTTAAATTGAAGGGATAGACTTTGGTAATCTTTTTTCTCGATTTTGGCTTCACCATAAATGTCAAGGTATTTTCCATGTGTCCTACAGTGGTTGAATTGGGTATCCTTGCAATCTGTACTTTATAGAACAAGTTTTCACATACTCTTCTAAGCCACAACAACGTCTGTTGTATATTACGTAACCTCTACAACAGTGACTCGCGTGTTTTAATGTGCAAAATATTTGTTCAGTAGATAGAAATTTATATTGAATAGTGTTTGAGCAAGGGATCAATGTGGATCAGAAATTCTCCAGCTGCAGTTTACATTTCATATTCTTGTAAATGATCGTACCTTAAATGAAGGGCCATGTGCATTGAACTTCGACTACTACTTTATGGAAGCGGAAACTTGTTCTTCAAAAAACGATATGAACCATCTTTCACAAAAAGTACTGCAATTCAATATGCTGCAACACTTAATTACATCATTCGTAACTCTGTATCAAAAGTGAAAACGTTTTATTCTAAATCTTCTCTATCATTGAGTTTGTTTACATGTAGATTTTCGAAACTCTGGAATAACATGATGTAAACTGTACGTGAAATCAAATTACTGTTATCGTTTGTTTTTCGCATCGATTTTCACTTCTCCGATAGTGGTTTAGAAATGTTTTCACCATTGAATACATCGCACTAAACTAATAAGATCACGGAAATATTAAATGTTTGATCATTGTTACTACAGAGCATATCTTTTAAAATTCCCATATTCGAGATGTTATACACTTAGACTGTATCTGGTGAAGTTGATTGAGGTAATATCTATCAGAATCAGTAGGTCATAAACCAATCTAACATATGTATAATATAAGACCTATCACAGAATTGTTTGCGACTGTTTTTCCATGGTTTCTGTTCCCTTCCCTTTCTTTTAGCTTTGAATAATTGCAATTACTTTGTAACGGTACGGGAATCGCCCTTTGACACATTGATTATACTTCAATAAAATGCTGTAATCCTCCTACTGAGAATAATGGTTTCCAACTGCTGTCTCACATTATTACGACCTCTATGATGAATATCTCAAAATAATTTGTGAAACAAAACTTCTCGAACAATTTAATATTGATATGGGTGATTTGTTAAAATTGTAGTTAAAATCACGGATCTATCCAAGCTAGATTACCATTGAAAACCTGTAGGCACTGTGTGACATTTTCACCCTGGTGTGAAACTCTTCAACTGCGTACATCTACAATCCTGGAACTGGAACCCGAGACTTTCGGTCTCGCGCCCGAATGCTTTATCTTTAGACAATTGACCTGAAATTCAGCAGCGTTAATATCTAACTTCAATCAAACTATGGCTTTGTACAACCCTTTGTCCATTACTTGTGGTGGATAACAGTCTCACTCCCGACACTGATTAGATTCCACTGGTCACGACTTCTCACTACAACTCCCGGAGAGACATCTTCGAGCTGGTCACTACTGAACGCATTGTTGATATTAGTAGAGTGAACTTGCGAAGTTAGGCATTAATATTGTTGTATGCTTGCTCAGTGGTTTCGAGTTCAAGTGTTTGTGCGTGAGACCGAAAATCCTGGGTTTCACTTCCTTTTGCGGGATTCTGGGTGCGCACATCTGAAGAGTAACACACAAAGACAAAGTAGCTGCCCGGTGCTTCTAGGTTTTCAATGGTGATCTAGCTTGGACAGACTCGTGATTTTAATTGTGAAAATCTGATCGCAAAATTTTGTCCTTCACGTGTAACATAGCTTTATGTATTATCATGACTATGCCTAGAAATTGGCTTGAATTCTTTGATTATTTCCAAACTATTTTTACTAATTACATTTATGTACTTGTTTCACCCTGTAAGTAGACGAAATTTCAACATCAAATGAAATTTATTTTCTGGAAAACTTGACCTATTAATCAACTATTAATTATTTTAAATTAGTGTTACTATAATAATAATAATAGTAATAGTAATAATCATAAATAGTGAAGATTTATTTATGGATTGATTTTGTCGTCAACCTAAATGTGTCAACACATAAATGGAGCAAATAAATACGAACAATTGTATATCGAACCAATTTCATTATTATTGATTATCATGTATTCATAAATAAAGTATGAGTGATATATGCATGTTTACAGTTTTATGTTAATGAATTAATTTGTGTCCACTTGTACATAAAATGTGTATGGCTAAATTTAAATTAGACATCAAACCAGTCAGGTTTATATTTGAAATCTTATGTGTAAATATTTGTCTCAGTGTTAATCTCTATGTTATACACACACAAACCTGTTCGTTTTATAATGTTACTGTAAAGCCGAGTACACAGTATCATATTGTTCCAGGAACTTGAAAGCTTTGGAATTTACAACACTAATAAATTAAAATAGATGATAAACAATATTGTGATATCGTAAGAAGAATTTTTATCAAGTCGCTAGAATTCACAGTCGATAATATTCTATCTTGTTATTCCTTGAATTTGCTATCATGATGGAAATGGTACTATCTACAAAACATAATCCATTGGTAATAAGTTACTCGATATTATATTATGCTCTCTTATTGACATGTAAGTAAAAAGATTATAATGAAATATGCACATTTTTTATAAAGGTATAGTGCTTACAAATTCACAAACAGTATTCATTCCTGAAGTAAGTAATCAACTATTATAATTTAAAAATTATGAAATTATCTTTTTTTGAATAATTTTCTCGTTTCAAGATTCAAGCTTACACTTGAAGACATTGGAAGTTTTTGGTTTTTGAGAGTCATTCATTTATATGCATCAATTAGCATTCATATTAGATAATAAATAAGGTTTCTGTTCCACTTAAGGTTAAGTCGAAGAACAAAATTTAAATGTCATTGCCGAAAATTAACCGTAAGACATAGGTATGTAACTCACTTGGATAATTGTAGTTTGTCGGGTTTTATCAATGAGTTCAAAAATAGAGCTGATATATTTTCGATGATTGCTAGTGGAGCTAATCAAAGAATCACCCATATTTTAATACTTGTGAACAAATGAAGGATTGTTGCTTGTAAAAGATTAATATTGGGGTCGCTATGTTATTCATTATGGATTGAACAATGTACATAAGATAATAAGTAAGCTGTTGATATTTATAAAGTTTATCAGGTGCTGTCTTCGTACAACTTAGTTAGGGGTGTAAGAATAATTGACCCTAAGGATACCAAAATTAATCTTATTCCTCTGATTACCGTTTCTGGAAGAAAGGCCTGGAAACTCCCGAGCTAACACACTGAAAACCGTTTATTCAGTGGACATATGTGATTGATTCAGGTAACTGTCTTTTGGTCTCTGGAGTCACGATAATGGGTTGACATGACCACTGTTAACTCAGTTCCCATTCCAGACACTTCAAGAATAATACTTTTCCACGGTTTTGAAATCTGAAAAAGATAATAATCCTTATAGATTTATCAGCTTTCAAGGTCATGTCCGAGATCAATACCTTTCTCACTTTTTAATACTTATTCTATCCCTACTATCATCTTTCTTTTATAACTTCATCGATTTCCATACTCACCATTGACGCTAACAGCATCAAATTACAAGGTGTTACTATTGACTTGTATTCCTGGAAACGTATGACGTATAATCGACCGTTCCCTAAGTAGATACATGATGATTGGCGGCGAAGTAATAGGTTTTAAAAAACTAAGGATGGCTATATCCAGACGAAGCATCAGTCTATGTAGTCACTAACCACTAAATTGAGTAACCTTAATAAGTTCAGGCTACCTGGTTGGAGTTGTGTGATCAACGTAACTGTGGTAGATGCAGAGTGATATGATATAGGTGTATTTACTATTTGTTTCCCTTCAGATTCTGAGTTTTAAAATTACTTTATAAGCTTAATTCCGAAAACTAACTTTTTATTCTTGAACCGTATTCCGTATACCTAAATACATTTACTACAACTGGTTCTGCTCCACTCACTACTTTATTATTCATTTTGATAATCTCATCTTGTTGTGCTGATATGGACGACATCGGGTAGGGAGATATCATGGGACGACATAGACTGACTGGAAGAAAGAAACTCGAATGACGAGAGCTTAGCAAATTTATGTGAATTCAACAAATGCATACAAAAGGTTACATAGGTCTCAACGGATCATACTATACAGAACCAGATCGATCATATTTGCAATACATAAAAAAGTTAAAAGATTCATGGAAGACGTGAGAACAAGGAGAGGAGCAGACATAACTTCAGTTCACCACCAACTGGTTGTGGCGAAGATGAAACTGAAGCTAAAGAAACACTACATAACTGAAGAAACATCACTAAAAACATTTGATATAGCTTTCCTTTGAATCACTGACAAACTCGATGAATTGAAGATCGCTCTCAACAATAGGTTGCAAACCTTAAAAAATCTACTGGAAGAAGAAGAAGAAACTGTCATGGAGAACAATTGGAGAGGGATGAAAGAAGCACTGACTTCAACATGCGAGTAGGTGCTGAGTGGCTAGTAGCATAATCATGAAGAATGGATCTCTATGGAAACCGTGATAAAGATTCAAGAAACGTAGCTGAAGTAGGCAACAATCGAACGAGAACAGAGAAAGTCAAGGCCCAAGCTGAATACACAGAAGCAAACAAGTGAGTGGAGTTGAGCATTAGTGATGACATGGAGAAATGCATTGAAGATCTAGCAACGTAACAAGCTGAGAGAAGAGGAAATATATGACAACTGAATGATACAACGAAGAGGCGAACAAGGTAATATGGTAGACCAGAAGGAACAATCAAGGACAGAGGAGGCAAGCTAATCACTGGGATTGTAGAACAGCTTCCTTGATTATGACAAGGAGTTTGAAATTGTGCATGGGAGAACCCTGTGGATCGTTATCCGATACTGTAGTGTAGTAGCTGAGAACATCGCCAACTGTATGCAGATTTCATACGACGGAATACACTGCCAAGTCGTGTATGGAGGACAGCTTGGAGACGCTTTCTGATTAAGGACTGGAGTCGGAAAAGACTGCTCATTCTCCCCCTATCTTTACCTTCTGTTAGTCGTCTAGATTATGAAGTCCTCAAGATCTGAGGCGAATCACAGAATACAACAGACAGTCCGGATACGACTAGACTACGTGGACTTTGCAGATAACCTATCTCTTCTATTCCATACACATCAAGAAATACATGTGAGGATGGCCTATGTAAGAGTAGCGTTTTCAGAAGTAGACTTCAACACACGCAAGGGAAGAAGTAACATCCTCAAACTCAACTCGGAAAACGCCAACACGATCACACTTGATGGAGAAGCATTGAATGAGGTGCAAACGGTCTTAGGTGTTTTTCTAGTATGGACAGACTGCGTTAGTAGAATAAAATTGATAGCTGGAATATTTCTTTCCTGAATAATTCTGAAAACGACAGAATTCGATTTATTTGGCATTTTAGCGTCCAAAACATACATTTTGTCCACTAAGTAAATGAATCACGATGCCTACCCAAATGTTCAACGGACATGATCTTTATTATTTTTCTACAGGTTTGTGTTTTCCTGTTGTTTCCCCTGAGTTTCAGTGAAATCCTCAACATTAAGATGAAGATGCGTTGAAATAACGTATCCTAAGTGGTCGTCCGGGATTTCACTTCTAGCCATTATTCAAAAATATAAAGAAAAAACTCATTGGCATCAAACAACGTGATAAAGAAATAAAACTCTGGTTTTGAACGAAAATATCATAGAAGTATGAAAAAAAAACAGTGATGGAACCTGTATATCGTACAGTATTCCTATTAAAACATACCAATTGAATGTACTCAGTTAGCTTCAATATCGTTTATTGGAAACGATGCTAATCATTTGTATATTGACGGTAGAAACTGATCAATTCATCTTTAGTCTCAGCTCATAATATTTCATAAGTCTTTATTTATAGTAGCAATTCGTATCATTGTAATAATATATAATTTGGTTTTCCAATGCAAAAATCGCTTTTAATTGCTTAAAGTTATCAGAATTCATAGAGCAGACAAAGAAAAACGAATCTACTATGAAAGGACTGCTAGTCGACTTATTAACTGTTGACAATACATCACAAGTTCAATATTCAGTTCAGAGTATACCAGTTAGACTGAATGTTTCACTTACGGATGTAGAATATTGTCTCAGTATGGTAAGAACATTTTCAAAATATATCTAATGTTTTTTTAATAGAAGGAGCTTTTTGATTTTTAAATGGATTAGCAGTTATTCTGTGAAGAAAACTATATTTATTTTATGAGTTTTAAACTCTTATATCTTTAGCGAAGACTAAAATTAACTTTATATCCCCATCAATGAAAACCTTAAAGAGTTTAACTTATGGGTGATAGATAGCACCGTCCTATGAAAATGGTTAATGCTTGATCAATATTTGAAAAGAATATCATAATATTGAATACAAAGTGATTTGCATAATTAGATGATTCATGTAGTGAATTAAATTATTTTTACTATCGTTACACGTTTCACTAATCGATAAAGTCAGTATCACGTTGACTACTATCACGTGAATAGCGTAAAATTCCATGAGGATCATTGAATTTATCACCAATGAAAATCCATAAAATCACCCGAGGTCCAACTCAGAACCTTCTGGTTTCGTGACGAATGACATCTAGTGGTTCACATGTTTAACTTCAATCAGTTCGTGATATTATTTGACTTGAAAATTTGAGGTTTGAACCCCCTGTGGGTTAACCTACGTGCACAGTTGAGGAGTCCCATTATGGGATGAAGCATAAGTCCATTGCTTGTTTTAGGAAGAACACAAAAAATGAGTTGAATAGACTTACTTACTTTTTTATTTACGCTGGTTTGTTTTCTCCCACGAAAGGCTGTTGCTGATGGTATCCGGCCAATGGATGTTGAGTATCTTGCGAAGACAGCTCTTTAAAAATACTTGTACCTTCTTGATGGTGGTTGTTGTAGTTCTCGAAGTTTCAGCTCCGTACAGTAGAACTGCCTTGACGTTAGTATTGGAGATTCTCACTTTGATATTGGTTGAAAGTTGTTTTGAGTTCCACATGTTCTTTAACTGTAGGAATGCTTTCCTTGATTTGTCAATCGTCGCCTTTACGTCTACATCTGAACCTCCTTGTTCATCGATGATGCTTCCCAGGTATGTGAAGGATTCTACATCTTCCAGAGTTTCGTCATCAAGAGTGATTGGATTGCTGTTCTCCGTGTTGTATTTGTGGACCTTGGTTTTCCTCTTGTGTATGTTGAGGTCTACTGATGTAGAGACTGCTACTACACTGGTTGTCTTTATCTGCATTTGTTTGTGTGTGTGGGATAGGAGGACTAGGTCGTCTTCAAAGTCTGAATCGTCTAATTGGTTCTGAGCTGTCCGTTGTATTCCGTGTTTTTCCTCAGATGTTGAGGTCTTCATAATCCGGTCGACTACCAGAAAAAAGAGGAAGGGAGAGGAATTGAATAGAACATCCACGCAAACTATTTTATAAAAGTTTCATTACCAAATTTTTTCCATATAGAACACATCGCTAAACTGTTTCGTTTTATGAAAGTGAACATATTGAAAATAGAGTCTGACGAGATCCGTGATGTTTGTTTTCATCTGTACGTACTGAATTTTGTCATTTTAACTGATAAAAATATAAACATTCAAAATGTTTCCATACTGTGAAGTATTATATTACATTCAAATGAAAACGCTGTCTTTTAGAATGAAGCGCTCTAAAGTATCTTTTACTATAGTAATAACCCATTCTGTTAAAAAATGTTGTTTACCAACAGATTTCAGTTACCAAACATCATATCTAAGAAAGTACTGAGATAAAATACTTAAGATATTCATATTTCATGTAACTAATTCATCTACTAGACCTTTATATTAAAAGAACAACAAATAATTTAGAATGAAGTGGATTTCTTTCATTGCTTATTCCATATAAACCTTTCAAGTATCCAGTAATTTTTTTCAATGACACTTGATTTTTAATAAAGTTTACTAGTGAATATTAGTTACATCTACTTTCTGAAATCACGTACTTATCCCACTTAGATAAATGTTAAAAAGTCACAAGAACTGTGTTAATTGTCTTTAATCTTCATGATCTATAGGGTACTACAGCTCAGCTAAACTCAGCCAAATGAACTAAACAAGATAGTAAAACATATGAAATATGCTTGGTTTTTAAATGCATTCTATCCATTTTATTTATATTTAAAAACCCACTTAGTGACAGAAAATAATATTGTTGTGTAAGTCAACATTTACACCACTAATGTAATTCTGTTTGAACAATTATAATATTAAACTGTTATTGACTTGTTGTTCAGAAACTGGTGTTATATTTAATCTGATAAGAACAGTCAGATATGGGTATAATTTCAGGTACTTATTCTTGTTTAATCTACTTTCCAGGCGCAATTCAGTTATCATTATAGACTTCCATAGACGGAAAAGCAAGGTATAATTGACACTTTTTCTCTGTATAGATTTGTACTTTTTGGTGTCCATTCATGATTTCAAGTACATGAACTTCAGGTTTCATCAGTAACCAGGTACCTTTAGAAACTGAGTTTGAATTCAGTTATTGAATAGTTTAACATTTTTTTAAAGCCATATTTATCTGAGTTTCTTAAGAGTCTCAATCTACAAAGTAAAAATTATCTGAAGCTCTCTGTTTCTTAACATTTAAAATCATTGTTCAATACATTAAATAAAAATGCATGTTATAATTATTTTCTTTCTTCATTAAAGTACTAGATAAAAGAGCAGATGTTTAGGTAAATATTTCTGTTGTTGAACTTATCATATTTCTATAACCACTTTTTTGTAAAAATTTATCTTTCATTTAGCTTTTAACTAACAATCAAAGTTTATGTCTTTTTCAATTCTCTTCTGATATTCTAATGAACATGGAAAATAGTTCTTTAACACTTATAAATAATAAACGTACATTGCCTTATATAACTAGATCATTTACTCAACTCAAACCAGTATTAATTATGAAATGTTTCAATAATAATTGTTCAAGTCGATTAGATTCATCATTTTTAAATGGAATGTATTTTTTATACACATTTCATTCATCTATATGGTCATTAATTCTACTATATACATTGACAGTAAGTATACATTGTTATAATATTAATAAGTATTCATTTGTATTAAACTATTTTCAAAGTTATTGTGATTTTTATTGGGTTGCTTGTTACTGTGGAGATTATCTATAATTTGATAGTGATTTTTATTAATTGATGAAGTAAGTTTACGAACTATCGAAATTAAAAAAATAACTGGTCATCGTTTGTCATCACTTAGTATTTTGCATTCAAAGTTTTACCTAAGATTGAAAATAGAATCTTCAGATCTAATCTCAAAAATAACTTTATTGAAGCCACTTGTGATCATCTTTAAGTTAGAAATTTTATTATATGCTATGACACGTAAAGGAAAATAAGCCGGCAATAAAAAAAACTTTCCACAGTTCATATTTGATTAAATTGTGCTTTTCCAACAGTGGTAGAACACATAGATCATACATGCCACGTGATATGAGATAATGTTTAGCCTTTGATAGATTTTGGGTCTAACATGAAAATACACTGTGGTAAGAGAGTATACAGAACACTTTGTAGGATTCTGAAAGAGAAAAGAACGAGAGGAAATTAAGCAAATGATCTAGTTAAAACAAAAGATGTATAGAATTTTAAGGGTGAAAGTTGTTAATATCAACTAAGTAGGACACACTTGTATCGTTGAGATCATCTTATAATAAAAACTAAAAGTTTACAGAGTAAAGTTTCGTATGAATTACATAAACTTCTTAGTTTCGATCTTGTATTCATGTAAAATGGATGTCATAAACTATAATAATTTCTGATTGATTAATAATTTCTTGCTATTTACAATGACTAAAACTTATGTATATTTCTTCATCACCTCACATTTTATATTTAAACAGACCGGTTCATTGTTATTTGTGTTCGAGTATACAAGACCCTCATGTGAGAAATATACAAAAATTTCACCTTCAAATGAACCAAGTTTAAATTTATGGGATTCATACGTGTACGTTATTATGGGATTATTCTTACAATGTAAGTAATTGATTTATCTGGTAGTGTCAGTACGTCATCTACAGTGCTTAAGAATATTATTACCAGGTATCTGTCCTGTTGTAATATGGTTATCTGTTTACAGAAATTTAAGTTTTAACTAATGACTCGTATGTCGAAATCGTGATTCATATTGAAGAACATCGTTAACTATTAGTATTGATCCAATTGTTTTGTACCATTATCTCTTATTTTTTCCTTAAATGTACTGTCTCTTAGCGTAAAAAAACAATAAATTTCACAAAGCATTGAATTTAACTTGAACAGCATGTAAATCTTTTTAATGAAGTATATGGTAGATGCACCACTTATAATAAGTGGCTTATGATAATCGACATGGAGACTCAGATTCAGGCTTTGTACCAGTTATCTCTTGTCTGAAAGATGTACCTATAATAGTAAGGTTACTGATACACTATGTGGGATTTGGGCAACATGACTAATAAATTTAATCACAACAATGAACTAGACAAACTTAATATTGCTTACTACTCTGTGATCAATTTGTGAATGTAACATATTGAAGTCAATTCTGAAATCAAGTAAACACATATTATTATTTAATGATTAGACTTGTTAAGATTTATCAGCAAAATTAGTCAGCGACTTCGATGATTCTATGAAATCTGAACTAATGTCATATAGACAATCACAGATGTCGTTAGTAAATTTTCAGTTTCTAACTGAATCTCTATGAAAATTACGTACATCAATAATCTTCAAGTGGTTAGTTAACAATGTTACACTGTTCATTCACATTGAGTTTTTTTTACAAAATATTATACAGTTTTAAATATATAGTTAAGCATAGATAGATTATTCCATGATTTCATTTGTGATTCAGATACTATTTCGGCTATGCTTTTAATTAAACATCTAAGTGACTGAATCTCTATGAAAATTACGTACATCAATAATCTTCAAGTGGTTAGTTAACAATGTTACACTGTTCATTCACATTGAGTTTTTTTTACAAAATATTATACAGTTTTAAATATATAGTTAAGCATAGATAGATTATTCCATGATTTCATTTGTGATTCAGATACTATTTCGGCTATGCTTTTAATTAAACATCTAAGTGACTTTAACTGAAATTTTTTCGAAAGACAGCTATATATTATTATACAACGGTTAAATAATGTATCAGAAAAATATGTTTTTCCGAAAATCTCTTGTAAACGAGACTAAATACATTTTTGCTAATTTTAAGTATAATTGGAAAGGAATTTCTTATTGTGAGATGATAAAATGTTGTAATTGAGGTGAAATGTAGCTAAGAAGATCGTCAGTGCAGCAACAAATCCGTAAGGAATAAAAGGTTTAAAGAGAAAAAGATAGAAGGGGAGTGGATGGCTGTGAAAGAAGGAAAAAAATTCGTAGGTGATTAAGAAGATGCTAGAAGAAAAGGTTTTATAAATTTCTTTTGTACACATTTTATGTTAAGATATAGTGACCAACTACTTCAATCTGTGTTATTATAGTTATCATAAATCTTTTTTTCTTTTTCGTAACTAATTACAATACAGTGAAGTTATCTTAGTACAAAGTTATAGATATGTCTTCAAACTTCGCTTTCTTGGTTAGATAACTTAATAAATATACAGTGGTATCACGGAACACAGCAACAAACTGGATACATAAAAAATTAAATTTTTTTTTAACTTTTGTGCTTTTTCAATAATTTTTTGATCGCAGTATAAAAGGTTATTCAATTGAATAACAATCAATAGCTATTACAGTTCATCATGTACTTGTCAACCAATTACAGGATCTATATTCAATAGTCTACTGATTTCGAAAGCGGATTTGTGTTTATAAATTTAAGCCTATTTTGTGTGAAATGCTTCTTTTTTGAACATATCTGTCAATCAACTACTTCATTTTTCCTTTAAACTTAAGTGCAGAGGAAAACTAAAATGCGGATAAACCAATTTTGATTTTTGAATAGGTCTTACAATGAAATATTAACATTATTATCACACTCTTAATGTTTTTGTTTGAAATTTAGCCTCATACAAATTGCCTAAATCATGGGGCGGAATAACAATAACTTTATTCTGGCATGCATTTTGTTTAATATGCATTATTGCCTATGCAATGGGTACATCAGTGTTGATTTTCAAACAGTATACTGATAATGACTTGAAATATCATCCTTATTTAAACAGTCAGAATCAAACAATCTATTGTGATTTAAATCCAAATTTATGTAATTATTTTGAAAAGAAGTTCTCTTTTCCAATGAAATTGGTAAATGAGAAACTTTCATCAGATGAGATTAATACATCAATGATAATATTAACAGATCATATTCATGGTCATTATCTACAATCATTAAAACATCGAAATACTGATTGGAATTATATTAAGCTAGATTGTAATGAAGATGAAAAAGATAATGGTGAGATTTTTAATGACAGTGGAAATTTCCAAGATATGCCTTTAATGGAAATGGGATTTTTAACATTCAGTGAAAAATCACTTTGGAAAATGAATGTATACTTGAAAGTGAGTTTAATATTTGAATATTTCAAAATAAACATGATATAGTTATGTTAATGGATGGCTAAAAACAACTATTCGCATGTTGACTTCACCTTGGGAACTATTGAGAATCAGACAATAGTGGATAGCTATCTCCTCCTAGTTTGTGACCACTTCTTGATTCCTAAGGGTTCCGCAGTTGACATCTGTAAATGAAGAAAATGATTTACTGAATATTCACCTAATCTGCACAATCTATCTTAATTATTAGCGAAATAGATTTTATATTGAGTTCAAACTTTTCCCAAAAGTTACGTCCAGTTGCCTAACGTTTGTGTATGTCTGTGTGCTATCTGGGAAATCACAACATATCAGGCTACAGTCTTGCCTTAACATTAATGTTAATAGGTTAATTTAAACCTGATTGTAATTTATATATTTTTGCGAATTTCATCATCATATTCACTATTATTCAAATCAAGCTGCTGATCAGATTCATTACACGATAATTACAGTTAATACACATTGAAACACAGTTACTAAGTTGTTTACTGCATAACATTATGGTATATTTTATTTAAAAGTAAAGTAGAAAGACCCTAGTATTTTTAAAAATTTTATTATACAGGTGACTGGTTGCGTAAAATGTAAGCATATTTCATTAGCTACCTTTATTGATTTCATTACGGTCAGTTTAACTTTTTAGCACGAAAATTCGTTAGTTTTTTCATATTCCTTAATCTAAGGTCTTGTATTTTTATCAATAAATCTGGGTCATTAATTTTGATTATCTCTTTTACCAGTCCTAATAGTATTGTGACCATTTAATTCCAACTACTAATTCTACTGATTATTTTATTAATAGGAATAAAGTGAGCTGAATGAGGTAATAAGTATTCTTAAGACGTATCATATAATCCGAAATCACTTTGCCCTCAATAGAAAAAAGAGCAGAATCTTCATCAAATTGAGATGTTTTTTTTTATTAACCACATTCCATTCTGTTCATTTCACCCACAATTAACAAACAAACAAACTCAAATTTTAATAGTACTCTTTCACATTATAATTTCACTTTTTCGTAGCTACCACCCAATACACAGATAAAACCCAGTGATGACTCACTCAGAATCACCTTGACTAAAAATAGAATAGCATTGATATATTCAGGCATATTTTAGTTTTGACTGTATCAAAAACATTCAGCTCTTTTTCCTATGTGCTGTCCAAACTTGTGATAAGTTAGTTCGGTTATTTATTTACTTACTTTGAAGAAGTAGTTTACATTAGGTCACGAAGTTTCAGAAGTTCAAATTTCTACTCATGGGGATATCATAAATATATCTTCAAATTGTTACTGCCCCCTTTGAACTAAATTGTTGATAAAAATCTGGTTAATAATTTGTAACTTTCATCATAGTCTAATAATAATTAGATATTTTAAACTATACAGTCCTCTATAAATTAATTATTATTTGTTCTTTCAAATCTATCATTAATTTAAATAGTTTCTTTCCATCTGTTTTCCCATATCATATTTTCAAGTACTTACAGGATTCTGGAAGACTCTACAGCATACAATATAAAAATGAACAGGCATTTGACTTTACAACTAAACTTCAAGTGCATAAAAATTTATGCGTAACAAAAGAAGACAGAAATTCAAAAATTCCAATACGTTTAAAACAAATGAACGGACCATTGTTATTTATGATTATCGGAGGCTTATGTGCTGTTATTATGCATATAAGTGAATATATTTATTATATTGTTATGAATAGATAATTTTTCCAAAGATTTATTTTCTATGGAGAAATTATTCCCTGAATCACTAAAAACTAATTGACACAAATAAATAAACCTTTATCTATTGGTCATTGTGTTCAGTTCACGATGGCTAGAATTGATTTACCAATTAGTGGTGATCAGTAAGAGCTTAATTTGCAAATGTATTATTAACACCTATTTATATGATTGAATGCAGTAATGTTATTAAATATACTATTTTATTGACATAGTTTTCTTTATTAACATCGGAAGAACTACAACTTCATCAGTACGATATAAATTCGTATTATTTCACTAACCTCTCATCAAGTGGAGTCAGTGATGTTATGGTTAATGATGTGATTGGTTTGAAATTTGGAATAGATATCTGTTTTGAAAAATAAGGCATGATATTTACGATTGTGCAGATTCCAAGAGGCGTTTTATTCGTGCAACCAAAATAGAACAAAATGTATAATAGTGTTTATATGGCGAGACTATAATTTATGGACGAACCAATCATTCATACACTTGGCTAAATAGAGTTTCGCATTATAACTGATGTCAGTTCGTGATGAAAACCCGAAATCTAATTTTAACCTTAACCATCAACTGTAAATGAAAATTCTAACTGGTTTACAACCCTCATTTAGTTCTAATCAGCATGTGTTCATTCTCAGGGTCACTTGAACGTCGCTCAAAGGTCGTCCACAAATGATAGTCTCACGAAACAATTTATCTGCCGAACCACATATTGATTGATCTTTTGGTATTAATGGCTGAGTTGTTCAATGCTCAATTATTGAGTTGAATATAACTGTTACAAATCACTGAAAAATGTGATTATCGTGGGAAAACGTCACGCCGTGAGTTTTCGTGAACTTGTGCACACGCTTTACCGATTTGTTCATCACAATAATTTTAAGTTAACATGAGATTTATGTTATGTGTTTTCAATAACCACTTAAAAAGTTGCACCAAATAGAAATATTGATAACAATGAACATAGTTAGCACGCTTTATATCTTTAACTTCTTTAAATTCTAACAATGCAAAATGTTGTACTATTCTGACATGAATTACTCGCTGAAAGGTTCAGTTACACGGAAAGTGATTTGCTTGTAACATAGTAATGGGTAAAATAGTGAATCCCATACCTTAAGCGTTGTTGTGTAAGGCATTTACTAAGATAGTTAATTTATAGATGATATCAATACTGAGCATCGTTTTTCATCCTAGACTATTTTCTTTTTGTGGACAGGTAACAATCGACAATCAGACACTGAAACGTTGTCACCTAGATAAACGGATAACTGTGGTCTATTCTGAACTTTGTTAAGTAGTAGTACAAGTATCACTTGAATAATTTACAATTAAAAGGTCATAACTAAAAGAACGGATTGGACTGTAAAGTTATAGTGCATCATATATTGATGCACAGTATGTATATGCAACCAAACTAATACCAATAATCTATTCATATAAAAATCTAATTACTTTCCGATTGAATCAACTAATCACCAACTGTTTTGTTAAGATGATTCGTCATTCTTATCGATTTTATTATGAATGTATCTCATCATCATGTCGAAAAATGTAAACTGGAACGTTTTTAGTATGAGTTATGATACACTGCATGGATATATTTGTAACTTGTTAAACGGAAGATTTATCTTTTCAAAAATTAAAGTTCTAATCAAGTAACAATGTCTAGTATAACAGTTCAAAATAAGGGAGTTTGTTATTGTGGAAAAAAAGAAATAACTCTGTTACCTGTTTGAATATATATGTAATTTCTCGGCTAAACTACATGTTACTAGCAATTTTATATATATCCAAAGTTCTGAAGACAATTATAGTCACGAATCATCATCATTTGGATAACCATTAACTAAATAGGAACAATAAATTTTTGTTCTCATCTCACTAGGAATCCTTAACCTAAAGGTGAATTTTCTGAGGTTTTAGAGCAAACGCTTGACTAGTCAGTCAGTCATCAACGTCACATACTCTCGCACGGATATTTTTTGTCCTTCCTGCTAAAACTGTATTAATATGCTGAGATGTAGACAACAGGACGAGGTGCGAAAGAGATGGGAATATTGTAGTAGCAATGATAATGAGAAAATATAGATTTTGAGGATAAATTTTGAAAAGACAGAGTAGAAAGATATCTTTAAAGAAGTATTTTAGTTCAATATTCGAAGGAATATGAAAAATGAATCCATTTGCCCCGTGAAGTATTCCGAGTTATGTAACCCAAAGTTTCTAACCACTGATTGGGGTTATGTTAGAAAACCCAAACAGAGTCTGCATTTACTAACCTGACGCAGGCTAACAGTCAATGATTTTATGGACTGATCCCATGACTAGTCAGTCAAATAAGTTAGATGTAAAGCAAAACATATCAATGACATCGACTAACGGTCACAACACAGCAAAAATCCAACTACAGATCTGTGGATTTCAAACCACTATTTAAATTTATCGTACTCTTCATGATAGGTGTATATCCTAGATTTATCCCGTGGCAGATTTTAAACGCGGACAACTCAAATGTCTCAAACTAGAATGAAATAACTGTTAATCCTTCTCAATTTTTTAGTGATATTCCTAATGATGTCAATTCTAGAATAAAGCTCTATTCAAAATTATACAAATCCTCTCGTGAATCAGCAAATTAAAAAAATCAAAGTTATGTTATTTGTAACTCGTAATGTTAAACCACTAATACCAATGATAATTTATATTCACAATCAAAAAGTTATGTTTAGAATCTATTGTGTTATTCATCACTCCAGTTCAAAATAACTAAACACGACGGCCTTTGAAGAGAACGGTACTGTGTTCGAGTTCCGGAGTGACACATCCAGCTGATGAGTCACAAACGGGACGAAACGCGCCTCAAACTGGAATCCACTGCTAGCTACTATCCATCTTTGCTTAAAAACCTTGTGACCTAAGGCTATATCGAGGTAATCTGCGCAGAGACTGATCAATTGCAGTCCTAAATAAGAAGTGAAGGATACAAGTAAAAAAACAACATCAAATGAATTTAAAAAATGTTTTAAAAGTCATCAGTATAGGATTGTAGAGATTACTAAGTTATCGATAGACATCTTGAACCGATTGATGTTGGACCATCATTGTAAACATGGAAGCCGTTGGACGTCCGTTTCGTCCTGCTGTGTGACTCTTCAGCTGTGCACATTCACAATCGCGCTCGCCGGACTCCAGCCCAGTGTAGTGCACAAGAACACCAGTGGGAAGGATCGAATGTATTTAACACGAACTTACAGGACTTGTTAATAAAATCTGACAATCATAAAGTAAATGCTTAATTTGCAAAATGTCCACCAATTTTCTCAAAATGACTCAGACTTCATTGTTCTTGCATTTCCACACAAATTGCATCCTGTTTCCATTCTTTACTGTTCGATCCTCTTGTCTCTCTGCTGCCAGACATTCTGTTCAATAGTGACATCATCTACTACTTATGTTAATATAAGTATCACACACCAAACCAGGACCTTCTGTCTTGCACGTGAATGCTTAACCTACTTAAATTAATTAAAAACTATTTCATAATAATCAGATTTTATTCTGAATAATAAACTATTCAATAATTAATACAATGAATGAATTTTCAATATAAATAAAACAATTTAATCAACTAACTTTTGTTTATTGTATTAATATTGAATTGTAGATTTCATAACATAAATGAAGTGATTTTAAAAATAAACAATATTGTATCAAGTTAATTAGTATATTTTTTTAATTGTTTTATATACACAGATAATGTATTAATAACATTAATTAAGTGTCTGATTTTGTACAAAAATATTTATTGATCAATAAAGAGAACAATGAAATAGTTTGTTTTTTTTTCATACTGAATTTGACACTAACTGATCACAATAATCAATTAATAAAAATAATTTTTCTTAGATATTGATTTCTATCTGGGTTTTTTTTTTAAAAAAACTAGCACCATGGTTTCCATTTTATGTTTTAAGGTATTTGATTATTAAATAGATTTTTTTTTCTCTCACAGACATTACTTGATATTATTGATATTATGTCAATGTATAAACTAGTGATTAATACAGATTCATTTATCATCTCACGATAACGTTAAGTAGAAAATTATTAAAGTTAAATGATGAAAAAATGTGGACATTTCAATCTAAATTTTCTGGTCCATATTTTAAGATTCAGCTAATATAGTTCGATCACCACTCAGTTTCATCGGTAATGTGAGGTGTTTGAATAAAAAAATTCATGGGTTCCCAATACTTACTTACTTACGCCTGTTACTTTTCGTCGGGGAGCATAGGTCACCCACCAGCACTCTCCATTCCACTATGTCCTGGGCAATCCTGTCTAGTCCTTTCCAGTTATTATTCATCCTTTTCATATCTACTTTTATTTCCTGACGTAATGTATTCTTTCGCCTTCCTCTTTTCCGTTTCCCTTCACGATTCCAAGTTAGAGCTTGTCTGGTGATGCAGTTTGATGATTTCCGTAATGTATGTCCTGCCCACTTACAACGTATTTTCCTAATCTCCTCCCCAGCTGGAAGCTGGTTTGTCTTCTTCCACAGAAGAAAACGGACATTCACTATATTAAGTAGACAACTATCCATAAATACTTATACCTCTTTGATGATGGCTGGAGTAGTTCTCCAATACATTAGAACTGAATTGACGTTCGTTTTGAAGATTGTGACTTTGATATTGATTGAAAGTTGTTTTGAGTTCCACAGGTTTCTCAACTGAAGGAATGTGGCCTTGCTCTGCCAATCCTCGCCTTTACGTCTGCATCCGATCCTTCTTGTACATAGATGATGCTTCCCAAGTAAGTGAGAGAATCCACATATTCCTGAGTTTCGTTATTAGGTGTGACTGGGTTGGTGTTCTTTGTGTTGTATTTGAAGATCTTGCGTTTTCTTTCGTGTTTGTTGAAGCCTACTGATGGGGTTCCCAATAAATCTCAAGAAATTCAATCAAAAACCA